TTCAGTCTCCGACGCCTTAATTCGTTTGAAATTACAAGTGGCGACTCACTGGAGATCACACTAAGAAAATCTAATCCCTTCTCGTATATGTATATACTTCGGTCTTATTTTCCTTTGTCGTCCTGATCCATACATATTATCGCGCAAAAGCCTACCCTGTGCTTTGTAGACGAACGCACAGCTTCTTGAAACTACCGGATTGATTCCTTGGCGGCGTATGAGTCATAGAAAGGCAGTTTTCGATTGTTTTGGAAAGCCTAGAGAGGTCTAGTACAGAGTTGGCTTTATATATATAGCGCGAGTTGTCGACGGACGGCAGATTGAATTTAAGTGTTGGACAGAAAAGATGAATTGTAATAAATTAGAATTGTGGGTTATAATAGTGCGTAAGTATTATATAAATTAATTAGTACGTGATAAATATATTGTAAATGGTGTTTTAAATAAGTAAACTATAAATACATACTACAATATGGTAGATATTTTGATTTTCAATACATTATATTTTGGATGTGGTTTATGTTGCTATTTTATCTGTCATAATCAAATATTTACCAAATATTTTTTCATTCAGTTTTTCAAAATGGGTGCCGGTTTGTCACTCACAGAGCTAGTTCCTTGAAGTAACAGCATCTCTTTAATTTTACCCAAACCTATTAAACAGACCCATTGTGCCAGGAAGCATTTTAATATGTGGTAAGAATATACCGCAAATAAATAACTACTGTTTTAGCATTTACGACAACGTGATAAATTCTTAAGAGTTTCCTTTTGAATGAATTCTCGGTGTTATTTCAATGAATGTAATTGCTCAGGTAAACTTTGTACGCACTTTTAAGAAATAACCGTCAATAGATTCATACCTTACGAGACTTTTATACTTAACTTTTGAATTTATCAATTTAGAGCCAAATATAATTTATTAAGTTATCAACAATTTGAATGTCCTTAGTGATGCTGTTCCATTCGATGAACCTCGTATATTGTGTGCTCCTCAAGAACCATTTACACTATCTAAAAGACAAACGTTAATTGTCCACAGACGAAAAAGCTTAATGTTCTCGTATACTTAAAAGAATATTTAACTGATATCTGTGTATAACTCGACAACACGCTAATTGCGTTTTGAGAAGCAACAAAAGGTCTTTTTCGATTTAATGTGGCCATAAAACGTTATCGTTCTAGGCAATAAGTCTTTTAAAACTCAAATTATACAGGATGTAACGAAGAAATACAAATTTTTCGTCTTCCATCTATTCGAGATTTGAAGAAAACCTCTGAGGTTACCACCAAAATATGCGAATCCGTCACAAATAAATATTTCTTTTTAGTTTTCTCATCCAGGCTTTACTAAATACTAAATATGAACGCAGTAGTTCTTTAGCTGTTGAACAATCAGGGCCATGTCCGAAGATTAAAGAGGGAATTTGAACTCGTGTTATGTATGTTTGAAAGCAAACCACGGTGCGGAAGTGACTTGTATATAGTAATCAAAACAATCTAATGGAAATCGATGGATTTACTTTAGTTAATAAGTAGGTACTTTGTTTAAGATTGTTTCAGAACAAAATTAATGATTAGTCCACGAGACTAGTTTTAATGGCATCATGTCAAAAAAACATTCTTAGTCAGCAAATAATTATACCACTTTTAGTACACATGGGATGTTTCAATTAAACAGATCATTTATTCAAAAATTGTAAATATTTTTATTGTAATATGAAGTATACATACGCCGATTCTGAAAGCACACTCTGGCTCTTTTATAGAAAATAAAATAAATTCTCAAAGGTATCAGGGTAGTTGTTTTTGAATTCGAGAGAATAGAAAACCAGCTTTTCCTCTTTATCTGCAACAAACAAAATTTGCATTTTTGTCTCAATTTTCCCTCAAAATTTCTACTATCTGAAATTCAAGAATAGATACCCTGGTCACATGATACGAGCAACCGTTTCTCTCAGGAAAAGTACTGCTCCTTTTGCTAATACCGCAAATATCCAAAGAAAAACAGCAAAGATAGAAAATAATTTTCAACTCTATAGCTTTGCTTACTAAGGAGAACGCATTCTTGGACGACCGGGTTGGTCCTCAATAGGACTCAACACCAACTAATAGACATTTTATATTCCAATTTATAATGGAATTTGCAAAGGCGTTAAATTTACTTACCTACATGGATGGAGGTTGCGAGAGAATAAGTAGTTATAGAGTAAAAAATGGTAACGCCATCTTCACTTTTCTTTTATAGAAGTTGTTAATTGCATTTAAGCATATTTTCCCTTCAATATATTCAATGATATGTCGAATTTCCTCGGACAATATGATGGTTTCTCGTTCACAACCGAACCAGTTCTATCGATTATAACTGTACAATATGATACATTTTGTCCACCAAAAATTGGATTCCATGAATGAAAATCGCCATTTGTCAAATTTTTAGACCAGCATCATTGATCAAAAGAAAAAGTCTTGAAATTTAAATCTTACGCTCATTTTAAAACACACTTTAGTTAGTTTGCAAGAATTTTCATTAAGTATTGACTCAAACGAACGAATTAAACAACATAAAAAATAAATAATTCGATTACACACCTACACAATACTACACATGATGCGAAACAAAAATATAGGGTTTTGCTTGTTTAAAAAAATAATACTTAATTGTTTCTTTGTTTGTTTGTTTGTTACAGTCTTTCGATGCTTTTTATAATCACAAATATGTATGCACCAGCAGATGGGAAAAATGTTTCCTGAAACATATGTAGTGCTAAATAAAAACCTATTTATGGCCGATAAAACCAAAGAAAAATAAATATTGCACAGCGGTAGTGTGAAACACATTAAATAAAGAAGGTTCTTGAAAATATGACAACGTACCGATCATAATGTCACCCAAAATAGTCATTACATGTACTGGATCTGTCCTCAAACATAACGGTCGAAGAATAGATACCTGAGATACCTTGCATAAATGAAACAAATTAATATGTAATTAAATCAGTTTTGCAAGGATTTAGTTTGATCTTGAAGTACTACGGATTTATACATTTGTATACTGCTTGCATCCGGCAAGAGAAAATTGGGACAAAATATTTCGATCTACTGTCAACTTTGTTTTTACTCTTAACATCATTCTTTATCAAAATTTAATATAGTATTGTACTGTTTCTTCCATTGCGATATTTTTTAAAAGCGTGTTCGTTCGTTTCCGCTACTAAAACAAAGACATCGCTTAAAGAATTTATGCAAATTACTTATACATATACTGTTTTATCAATAAATACTTAAGAATTTTAAAATGTCGAACAAAAAAATATATCGATGTCCTTTACTTTATGCGAAAGAAGTACACAACCTAAACATCGATAATACAAGGTGTTCCGCATAAGTACCGACACAGAACAAGTGTTGGGCACCCTAAAATATGATGATTTAACGCAATTTACCTTTATGCAAAGTTGTACCCCTAAGGAAGCCTAAAGTGGGGCCAAGTTTACTTAATTTTTGTTATTATGTAGATATTATTATTAGTTTTAATTGTGTTCTCATTTAAATCGATTTTATTAAAAGCAATTTGCTATTTGTTAAACTTAATTGAGAAATGCCAACTAAAGTTTAAAGTTTATTAAATTTTTTTGCATAAAATGAAATTAAAATTTTAAAAATCGGTCGTTGAACCAAAAATTTCTGTATAGTGATAAAGATGGGTTACCCTAAAACTACCCCTTAAATTAATTCTTACTCACCTCCAAATTAAGACTCACGAAGCGCCTAAATAATTTACCAAATAGAGATTTTTTAAGGTAAACGGTTGCAGAGATATTACATTTTTTTTTTGAAATTTATGATCCCACTATAGGCTTCCGTAACTCATTAGGGATACAACTTGTTATAGAAGTAAATTGCATTAAATCATCATATTTTGGGGTGCCGAACGCGTACCTGTTCTGTTACTTATGCGGAACACCCTGTATAATACATCCATATGCAGACAAAACATGAAATAAATTATAAATTTAATACGGTTATAGTAAATAGAAAAGTTACGGCCGCAAGTAATTTTTCAGATATGCAAAACAATGAATATGTTATTTAGCGATACTAAGATTTTATACAATCGATATCAAGGGACAACAACTAAAAAATTAAACAATAACTACTAAATTTGAGAAGTATATTAATGGAGCCTAAACTTAGGTCCTTGCTAAAGGATAAAGGAAAAAAGGATGCACGACGTAATTGGTGGAATATCGGCATTGAAGTGGTAGTGGGCAGGACTTGTAGCGAAGTGGGCAGGAACGTAGGAGCAAATAAGATTATTACATGGAGACAACAGGAACAAGTTGATGCGTCAGAAGACTCCAGATTTTCTGGGCGGGGGATATAAAACGCAAGGCGAATAGGTATAAATTGGCACAGTGTCGCGCAGACTCGAACAAAGTTGAAATTTGAAGGATATTTACACCCTTAAGGAAAAGCAACGGTCTCCAATATCCCATGCAGAAACTTTAAATAAACCTATGTAGGAAATCATTTACTTTAATTTAAAACTACTCATTTTTGTATTTTAATCATCATAGATTTGATAGTTTGCCTCTTTAAACTGAATAATGGTGAAGGCGCAATAATTTTACTGTTTTTCTTCATATTATGTAGATAATTTAAATTGGTATCTGAATATTAAAACGTAGGTAAGAAAAATTGTATTAATCATAACCGGCATAGGTTATGAATTATTAAAACAATTTCTGGAGATGAGACATATTAGACTACGGTAATACTGTATCAAATTTTTTTACGTATTGTGTACATTCATCAAGTTTCAACAAAATCGATAAATATTAGTAGTTTTAGCTGGCATAAAAACCTATAATTGTAAATTTTAATATAGGTAAATAGATATTTCTTCCCTCTAAAAACTTCCCTGTATTTGTAGATACTTATAGATAATTATTTGTAAATACACTAGATTAAAAATAAATTTTAGGAAGTCTATAATTCGGTTGAAAAACCTTTATTTACACAGTAGCAGTAGAAAAATAAATATAGACAATTCCGTAAAATATAGCTTCAGTCTTAAAATCCTCAAAGATAGTACTTTCCAAAAACGACACCAATAAACCCAGTAACGACTGATAATAGAAAATAAAACCAATTCGCATAAGGCATCGTAGGTCCCACATCTTTGTTTAACTTCACTTGATTATTGAGTTTTTGGTTTTCCAATTTGAAATAATTTTCTCCTTCAGCGGCTGTTTCTTGGACATTATTTTGATGTTCGGTCGATGGCATAGGGGTGGACACATTTTCAGGATTAAAATCGTTGACGGTATCATTTTCTTCATGCTGAATTTCGAAAACGCATTTCAACTTGGAATCCATGAGATGTTCAGGGATGATTTCATTCCAAATCTGCTCCATATTCACCTCACCGGGTGGTGCATAAGCACTTTGAACCATAAACTTATGTTTTCCTTTTTCATTTAAATTATACATAAAAGGTTGGAGACATACGGATATACAAACTCTTTCACTAGGCTCTAAAATACCTGTATTTGGACGAACACAATACTTTTTTGGAGCCGTTGTCTTGATTTTAAACATCACCCTCTTGTCCGAGGGGTTGCTGAGGTTTATGAACGAAGTTATGGGTGCATTGTACTTTCCTTCGAATTTTAATTCGTTTTGGGGCTCGATGCGCAATATTTGCTCCAGCTTGGACGTCATTTAGCTTTTAAAGCATAATAATATCAAATAAAGACTGTATGTATATAAAGTACTGTCAATTCGTGACACTTGCTCGTGCTTTTGACAATTTCAGTTAGTTAAGTAGGGACTTAAAACTGAATTATCAAACTGTATACGGTAAACGTACCTATTTACAATTCAAATAATTGAAACAAATCTACAACGTATGCTATTCCCATCCTACAATAAAACTAAATGTGTAATGATAAGGTTAGAACTTTAATCTGTATATATAATTAACTCGCTTCGCTCGCTGTGGGCGCTCCTCAGACCCCCCTTTGATACTAATCGTAATGCAAGCTTAATAATATCCTGGTATGCATTCGCATCTTAAATGTAGGAATAGCCAGTCTAGTTATATTATGTCTCTAACCAACAGCCGATGTTAAAAAATTTAAATTACTGATTTTTTTTTAAATCTGGTATTCACGGTAAAGAAACAGCTATAACTGCTGAAGGGAGGGGGTGCAAAAAGTTTAATTGCTGGTGCATATGAGTACATGACAAGGCTAACTGGTGCATTACAGTAAATCTTAAAATATTCACTGGGGGGGGGGGGGGGGGAGGAGGAGGCAGCGTCCATTGTAGTTTCTCGAGGAAGGTGGTGCAAAAAAAATAAATAGTGGTGCATATTGGTGCATCACTAGTGCATTCTAGTGCAATAGTTTTGTAATCAAAATTATGTATCAAGGCAAAAAAAAATACTTAAATGTTCAAATTAGTATAAAACAGAGAAAATAATTCTTGTCCTCGCAAGGTATGTTGAATTGAATATTTTCTTATTTTAAAATCTACGACGAACTACGAACAACTACTAGACCAATGCGAATTGCAATCATGCAGATTTAACCTCTGGTTAAATTAAAAGAAAATAAATCAACCATAAAGAGTAAAACCAAAGTTAAATTTGTTTGTTTAGGGCCAGTCTTTTCACCTCGGATTAAAGTTAAAAGTAACTACTAGCTGATTAAACTATGGGGCTATTGTTTGTTAATCTGTTAAATAAACCTACATGTAACTTTACTCAGAAGTGAAAAGATCGGCCCGTAGGGCCAGTTTTTCGTTCACCTGAACTTGGATCAAATATAGAACTGAGGTTAACATCAATAGCGTTTTTCAATCACGTCAATATCATAGTTCTGCATTGGGATTCTCATCTTTCAATTCGGCACGTGTTGAGACGACTATTTTCGTTCTACAGAATGCAATTTGTATGTAATGTCTCTCTCTATTCAATTCGTTACGTGTTGAATACGCACATAAGAATCCCTGTCCAGGTGAGTAGTTCTGAATCGAGGAACTTCTGACAAAACTGAATGGTCTATGTCAGTATGACGTTTTTAAAAACATTTAATAAAAGTGAAGATTTGTACGAAATGGAAAAAATTGACGGAGCGCCAAATTTTTGAGCAACGAAGAAGAATTGTTGCTAAATTTTGCTTGCTATGTACTCTAGAGAAGTAGCTGGTGGTAATTAAGAAAGATTCCGATGCAAAAAATCGTATAGTTAACAGAACCATGACTTTAACAGTTAAAGCATTATTTCTAGAATAAAAAATATATGTTTTTATACATTTTATTATCGGATTTTCAATTCATTTAATAGGCAGCAATTTCACCATTTCACTTATTACTTCGAACATAGAGTGTACAAAAATTGTGAAATATACTTATATTGCCTCAATGTCAAAACATTGATCTTAGTCACAGAAAAGAGAACAATATTCGTTCTCTTTTCTGTGTCTTAGTTTAAACGACCAACTTTGATTGTTCAATTTTTAGGAGAGTTTAAATTAAGATCAGACGTGAACTACATTTTAAAGACACCATCTTTCAATTTAACCCATAGTTCATTTACTGAACTCACTTTAAACTTTGATTATTGAAAAACTGGCCCTTAGTCACATCAATAGAGCAACAGCAGTTGACAGCAATGATGGAATGTCATGAAAATGTTAAACGTCAAATATCAAGCAACTAAAGGTGAAAAAATGGGTATTTAGTTAAACCATAAAGTGTTAGGAGTACTTACATTTTATAATTTTTGAATACTTTTTTAGTTTTTTTTAGTTTAAACAAAATTAAATTTCAAAAAAGTACTTCCATAGGAACATAATTTCATCCTTCCTCTATACTAACGTATTTTTTATATTATTGTATATTTTAAAATAAAGTCGTAGGATGGGGGCTCATATATCTCTGCAAATCGAGATTTTTGCACTGGAAAGTGCTGCCACTCTAGTAAAATTTCTAGAATTTCTATGAATGAAAATAATTATGTTTGATTTCCGTCGTCAGCAGTATAATATTTTACGAGGGTTAATAAAGATTTAGTAATAAAATTTATTTTCATCAAGACGAGGATTTAGAATTCCTTTTCGGTGTAACATTTAACTGGTACGTGTACTATTAGATACATTGGGAAACGAACAATATTTTTTAGTTAAGTACACTTGGATCTATGTGGATTTTTGAATTGTTACATACCTTTAAAAAAAATAGTTCTAATTTATCCCTAGTTTTCTGATTTTTCTTATTGTTAAAAAAATAATTCAGAAAAGTACTATCAGAGGAACATAGTTTCAATCTTACATTGTACTGACCTTTTTTTTATTGAATTATATGTATTGAAATAAATTCGTAGGATGGAAAGTTGTAGCAGCAAATCGAAATTTATGCACTCGAACATGCTGCTCTTGGTGAAATTTTCAATAAATTTGCATTATAAAATCGATAAATTATTAAAAATATCTTTTTAATATTGAAGCTTCCTTTAATTTGATTATGAAATTTGTTCTTCTGAGTCAGTGAGTGAGCGAACAGTATGAGAATATTGTTTAAACATATAATTATTAATAATAATAATAATTATTATTATTATTATTATTATTATTATTATTATCATTATAATACAATTAACTTAAAATTTAAAATGAATATATTATACTTGTAATCGTTTCGCGAGCACATTCTCGCAAGCCTCCCTATGGTGCTAATCGTAATAATCCTAATAAGCGTAATCCTGGCATATGATCACGTCATGACAAATTACATCCTTTATAGAATAACCCGAACAACCAGTCCACAGACATTATTATATCTATGGTCAACTATTATCGACACATATATTTTAGTCTCAAATCAGTGGGTGGCAGTCTTCATAGTGGTGGCTTTAACCCAATGACTATATAGTATAGGATAGATTAGATTCATAAGAAACCACATTGCGTTTTTTTCCGTATGGTTGATGACGTAGACGTCAGTACAAAATTGGGCATTAATCAAAAGTTTGAATTTTTCAAATACAAATAATAAAAATTGGTCTGGTGTGGCATTTTGTAATAATCTAGTAATCTAGAAAAGTGCTTCTTATAAAAACCTTGCAAGCCTCTTAATATGAGATTTTAAAATCGGACAGAATTTTGAGTGATTAAGCATTTCAGATGTACCTACCTATGTCTTTCTGATTTATAGAATTACACTTCCCCAATAAATTAACGCACCATCGAAAAATAACAAAAAGTTTAAAGTAAATATTTGTCAAAACCACTTGTCTGTTTTGGACGATTTTTTTTTTAAATGACAGGTTGCCTCTTCCACATCGTCGGTTTGCTAACTGTGTTTGCATAAAATCCTCTTTTTTATTAATACAGGGTGTAGCAATTATACCGTGATTTTTTCATAAAAGTTGTAACACCCTGTAGAGCGCAATAGTTACATTACCAAGTTCGCATTGATATCACAATGTAGCCTTATCTTCTCTTAACAATTTCATTTTTTATTTACTCCATTATGTTTCCTATTACACGAGAAACTCAATTTTATAACTTAACATGACTTTATTCATTTGCATTAGCATTATAAGCACTAAAGTAAGTAGCATGCTATGGAAAAACCAGTAATTGTCAAATACAGATGGGTATTGTCAGAATTTAGTCCACTCGCCATTTTTTGCAAAAAAAATTATTAAACAATATGCCACGAAGTCTTACTCGCGAAGAATGTGCTCAAGTTTTAATATTGTTTGAAGAGGGTTGGCGTTACCGAAGAATTGGTGAACGATTTGACGTAACCCACACAACCATTTCACGAGTTATACAAAGATATAGAGAGACTGGAAATCATGGTCGTAGGCCGGGACAAGGAAGAAACCGAGTAACTACTCCGATTCAGGATCGATTTTTAAGACTGTCAGCCTTAAGACAACGTTTTGTAACAGCTCGGACCCTTCAAACCCAGCTTCGGGATACTAATGGTTTAGAAGTTTGTACAGAAACTGTTCGTCAGCGACTAAGGGAACATAATTTGAGGCCTAGAATAGCTGCTCGAGGTCCAGTTCTAACTAGAGTTCATCGCAGAGCAAGGCTAAATTTTGCCAGAGAGCATCGTAACTGGTTAGAAGCTGAATGGCAACAGGTATTATTTACTGATGAGTCTCGATTTTGTCTGTATAACAATGATAGGCGTATGCGCGTATACCGACGCCCTAATGAACGGTATGCTCAGTGTAATTTCTCACATACAACATTATTTGGAGGAGGATCTCTGATGGTCTGGGGAGGCATTTCTTTGACTGGTCGCACAGAACTTGTAATCTTAAATGGAAGCCTTACAGCTGACAGGTACATATTGGAGATTTTAGACGAACATGTAGTTCCATTTGCACCATATATAGGGCAGGGATTTTTGTTGATGCAAGATAATGCCAGGCCTCATGTTGCTCGAGTTGTGAGAAATTATCTAGAGGAAGTTGGTATCGCTACCATGGCATGGCCAGCTCGGAGCCCGGATTTAAATCCGATAGAAAATCTCTGGGATACTCTTGGGAGGAGATTACAAGAGGAACGTAATCTGAACTCTCTGGAAGATATACGGCAGAGACTGATTCAAATATGGGAAGAATTGGACCAAAATGACATAAGGTCTCTTATTTTAAGTATGGGCCACCGTTGTCAAGAAGTTATTCGTGCCAGAGGCGGAAATACTCGCTACTGAAACTTATTTCGTTACATTTTGTTTCGTGTTTTCATTGTTAAATATTGATATTAATTTTTAATAAAATCATGTTATGTTATAAAATGTTTCTCAAATAATGACAAAGATAATGGAGTAAATAAGAAAAGAAATTGTTAAGAATAGATAAGGCTACATTGTGAGATCAATTCTAACTTGATAATGTAACTGTTGCACTCTACAGGGTGT